ATGTTCATCCACACTATCTCTATGCCTAAAACATATAGAAATAAATTATCATGCCTAAAACATATAGAAATAAATTATCAGTGCACGGTTCAGTGATCAATAGAAATGTATTAAAATAAAAAGAAATGCAAGCACTGCCCAGGTTCCTGTATTCTCTTGTTTTGTTTCATTTTGTTTTGTTCAGCCACTCTGACAGCCAAGACATTATTCCTCTGCATGTTTATTTAAACAGCAGAAATTATAGGGTGAAGTGATTTCAACTAAATCATTGCAAGGTGGAAGGATAGCTCAGGAATCAGGAAAGAAGATGAGGTAATATTTCCCTGTAAATCCATATTAGCTGCCAACATCTGAAGAGCTCTCCCATGCTCATGGAAAACTGGATTCATTATGATAAAAATAAGATGATCCAGCTGCTGCCAGAACCATAAGCTCATGTGGGTATAGAGCAGTGGTGGGATTCAAATATGTGAACAATCAGTTCTCTGTGTGGATGCTGCTTCCGGAAGTCTATTCTGGGCCTGGCAACAAAAAAATAGCTACCGGTTCTGCCGAACTGGTGCAAACCGGCTGAATCCCACCACTGGTATAGAGTCAATGTGGGAGCATTGCTAACACCATGCTTAGATGTGCCTTAAATCCTATTACAACACTGATGGACAGGCTAAGCACTCTTTCCTTAGATATAGATAAACAGAGATGGGATTCAATACAAATGGAGATCTCTTTACTTTTATTTGGTAATAACATGAACATACAGGAATACACTTACAGAAAAACCAAAAAGCTGCAAAACTAATTCATATGTTTAGAGACAACATGCCTCTTCTTCACAATTTAAAAAAGATACAATAAATATATTTTTTCTTAAAAAATACTTTCACAAGTGTTGAAAATATACATTGCTGCACGTCTACAAGCCACTTAGATTTTGAGCCAAAATAGGAACTAACCAAAGATGGTTTATTTAGAAACTTAGCTTTCTCCTCCTTCTTTTAGCAATGAATTCAAATGAGCTTTGCCTTTTTGGATGTTCATTATCCCCTCCCAAACATTTTTTTGGGGAAAATTATTGTAGATGACATGCATCCACATTTTCTTAAAGCATGATCATTTTAGGTGTACAAGTATGTCAGATCAACTTTGCCCAGTCTTATGCTATGGATGCCATGGGATCATAATTCCTAGATTTGGGATTCCTAGTCAATATATGCCAAATTCATGTTGGTTAGAAATCTAAATGTTAATCTAAAACATCAGTGTCAGCTTGGAGAAGATTAAGTAAAATATTTCATGTATACAATAATTGGGAATACAATAAGCACATGTGGGAAAGCAACTATATCATATACTCACTTTCTGTTACATATATAAAATCTGGAAAATGGCCCTGAGACATCATTTGTATATTCTAGCTAATATAAAACAAACTGCTAGTATCTATTTTGATTTTTTTTGATGACAACCTGAGGTGCAAAATTATGAGGACAGAGTACCTAGATTCAATTCTTTTCTGTTTCCTTGACCAAAGGTTATTGAGTCCATTTATTTTAAGTGCTATTATAATAATCTTAGGATAAGCATTATGTAATACAAGGTGGAAAGTATGCCTAGTTTTATGTAATAATATAATAATCATATTGCAGATTTCTACCGAAATGATACCTCAGTCATTGTTTCCATGCTATTATATTAAACAACATTATGGAAGAATGGCATCTGAATGGCTTTAGGAGAACTATGGGTCCAGAATCAGTTTTCCAAAATCATTAATTACATATTTCTAGGAATATGATTTCCAATAGCTGGTTTTTAATGGGCAGGGGAAAGTTCCCCTAACTAAATCCCATTGACAGACAAATTGTTCAGGAATCTGGCTGAGCAATTACACTAATTGCTATCATTGTATTGTGTAGAAGCAAATTCTCTAATTAAATTATATATTGTGTGATGTATGTTTTTTGTCTGTCCTGAAAGACAGACAAAATATAAATAACATGTAACATATTGTTTCACAGAATTCCATTAGACTGTCAGAATTAATGGCAGAATTTACAGAAATTTTGCAAATGTCCTACCCAAACATCTAGATGGGCAGGCTTTTCTATAATAATTTCTGAAGGCAACATTCCTCCCCCCAATATAGTACACCAGAAGTTCTAGTTTCTCAAATGTAATATAATAGGATTGGTTAAATTTAAGCATTGGCCAACTTTAAATTGACCCTGAATGTGTACAATGAAACCAAATAGAACATAAAAACAATTTTAAAAGGCTTCTTAAAAAGCAATAAACAACTGAAACTGATAGTCAGCTGGTAAACCACACCCAATTCCCAAACAAATCTGATAGGGGGAATCCAACCACCCTAACCCAAGACCTGGAATAAAAACCAGGTCTTTATGGTTTTCCAGAATGCCGTTGTGTGGCAGCACATGAAAATCTGTGAGAATTTCATTCCAGAGGGCCGGCTCCATGACAAAGAATTTTTACTTCTGGTGTAGCAATAGAAGACATTATTTAATTGAATTCAATTGCAAAACATTTTGGCTCATACTGTCTGGGCAGACAACACAAGAGATAGGTAAGTAGACCTTATGCCATATAAGGCTTTATTCATGCAAACTGTACTTTGGATTAAAAACAGACACTGTCACAAAAACCTCTTTTATAGCAAATGATACAGATCTTTGTTATGAGCCACAATTTGCTAAAACTACAATTTTTATAGTCTTGACTATTAGAAAAACAAACACAGTGGCTGCAACTTTACTTGCTAAGCAGCTTGGAGCAGGCAATGGTGCTTTCCATCAACCTGATCGATAGGGTGTTTCCTGACATTTTCCAAATTATACAGTGGTGTTTGTATAATCTGATTTGCTTGATGTCCTTTTTTCAGCAGGAAAAAAAAAGATTCACAAAAATCTGATAAGTTTTCATTAAAGCTTACCGGTAGTTTTATAAAAAAAAATTGTCCAATGCTGCCAAATGCACAGTGAGATCAGTTTGAATCAGAAATCTATAGTATCACAGTGACGATTCTGAAAATGATTTCCAATAACCAGGGAATTGCATATCCAACAGTAGTGGTTTGATTTTATACCCCCTTTACAGCCAGAACTGAAAAAAAACTGATCACACTGACAAAAATCTGAAAACTCCGAGGTTCATAAACTCTTAAATTTGAGCACATCTGCTGACAGCACAATCTATCTTCATGGCTGAAATCAAGTCATTAGGATAGAATTTCAACAATAATCTGAAAATAGATCAGGATGCTTTGTACTTCTCGAAATCTCACAAATGTCCTACTAATAGACCCATATTTCTCTCTGTGTAAGACATATGCTGAAAAATAATACTAAGAGGGAGAGAAAAGAATCTTCTTTATCCCAGTAATCAAAATGGGGGTTTCTGCCTTTTTCTCACATATAATTCATAATTATTTTGGTTAAAACAAGGCTAAACCCCTGACATGTTAATCAGAATCATGTTAAGCAGCCAGACCAACTATACTATATATTTTTAAACTAGGCAAGCACTGATTTAGCACAGTAGGTACTGTATGTTGGTAACTCTTGCAAAGGCCAGCTTAAGATCTGTACAGCAAACAAACACAGCTGCAGCATATATAATACATTCCTTCTATTAAGGAACAGCATTTGTAAAACTAAATGTTAAGGAACTAGAATATTATGTTGTCAGAGAATTGTTTACCTTTCTAAAGCTTCCATTTGTTCACGAAGCAGTCATTCTCATTCATTTTTCAAGTGACAATACACATAGAAAAACACATTAGAAATGCTTTTAGATTCTTTCATTCCAAAAATACAGAACTTGAAAGATGAACAAGATCTGCAAAGCTATGCTGTTTCAGAATGTTGGAATGAGAAATCTAAAACAGGTATTTTAGAATTTCAGCTTTGTAGTTTATAAATGACTATTATTATTATGGTTTGTCACACAGTCAGCCAGCTGTTCAATCTGGATTTGACATTTTTATCCACCTATTGAGTCCTTCTCAAGGACCAAGGATAGGCAGATGTTGATGTTTGATGGTGTTAAAGGTATCATCGCAGGATGTAAGCTGTTCCAAATAAAGCTGCCTTTTGCAATTGACTGATGGTGAATTTGTCAATTCCGATTGTGTTCAAGGGATGCTCCAGTTGTTTTGGGATTGAATGCAAATTTTAGCCCTAAGTAATTTTTCTTCATTATGTAGTAAAATTTGAAATACAGTTAAGTTGATTTCAAATGAGAAGAAAAGGATGATATATTTTGGAGAGGTTCTACTGTAGTACAAGATATAAATCAAGTTTTTAATCCATTATTTGTGCTGTAGCCATACTATGCTACTTTGCCCAGCGTTTTCTGTATATTGGTATTTTAGCTTTGAGTTAGTTTGGTGTAGTGGCTAAGGCACCAGGCTACAATCTTAGGCATAAAGACAGCTGGGTAATTTTGGGCTAGTCACTGTCAGCTCTAAGAAAGAGGCAGTGGCAAACTACTCCTGAAAACGAGAAGTCAACACTGACTTAGAGACGGTGGTGCACAAATGCACAACACATTTCAGTTCTATCTCTTGCTATATTTAAGGCATTTCCTGCCTTTCTGAACTGTCGTCTAAATTGTCTGGTAGATGAATATAATGGAAAAAAAATTAACCTAAAAGTAAATGTATCAAACTCAACAGATATTTTGTGAAGAGATAATGTCTAAGGAAACTTTAATGACTCCAGAGGGGAGCAGAGATCATCCCTCTAAACAAAATATTTCATTTAGTTGGGACTTAATATTGCATTAAATACACATTAGAGTATTTCAAACCCTAAATTATAGTTTAAAATCCTAAAGTGTAGAAAATATTAAATAAGAGACAGAGGACAATAACTGCCTTCTGTATAAATAGGCTAAGCTATATGTGCAAAAGCTGCAAACTGTAGAAGTAGGTAGCCTGAATATTTAAAGTGAACCTCGGCACAAAATTGTGACAATCAAACTCTTTTTTTTTTTTTTAGTAATAAATGCAATGAGGAGTTTCTTTGTAACCACAGATCCTGCCCATTCTTGACAGGAAAATGCATCCTGAGAAACTGCAATTCTACCGCCACTTATTTGGGAGTAAGTCCCATAAAATTCTATAAGACATTTTAAAGTTAGATTGCACACAATTAAAGAAGTTTGCACATTTAGGCTATGCAACATTTCAGACATAAAGAAAAAAATATGCCTCAGAGCACACAATAACTGTCCACAACACTTGAAAAGGCTGCATCTTTTCTTGTGATCACATGGACGCCCTCTGCAAACACAACTACCCAGGGAAACACTTTAATAAGTTGCAGAGAAGTGGCATGCCCTCTGAACCACCCTTTTGCCTTTGGATCCCACTATCCATATGTGTGCATTACCTAGTATAACTATTTGTGATTGCAATTTCAAAACCAGTAGAATAGTTACTGGCTAAATTAAAAATGGGCCCAATTGTTGTCATATTTGATGTGAAGAGTCCTTGGGTTTTGTGTTAAAAAGTACACATGTATTATTTTCATTTCATAGAGGAGGAAAATAATGTCACAAACTGGTAGAACAATATTTGCAATTAATCTGAATTCTGTTCAAAATCCTAATGCTACCAAATTTATATATATATGCTTCCAGAAGATGCTAAGTTGACATCTGCTAATCAGAATGAACTTTAAGTAATATTTTCCTTCTCCAGAAATACACCAATGATGGGGTGTATTTGTTTAAGGACTGTATTTGTTTAAAATTATTAAGAGGTGGCTTCCACCTCTTAAGCACACCATGTTCTAGAAACTGATTCTTTCCAATTGTTCTATTCTGAAATGTGTTGGCTATAAGTCTGTTCCTCGGGAGACTGAAGAATGAAGCTGTCTTATTCTGGATTGCCAGTCCCTAAACTAAACCTCTGTGGTTTTCCTGTACTTCGTATCTGCTATTTAAATTCAATATTTTGTTCCCCCCCCCCACCTGCTAGAAACACAGAGCACAGTAAAATTGCATTTTGTAAACTATTGTGTGACAATAGTATTTGATACTTAGCTTTAAAATACCCATAAAATATAGGACAACATCGCAATATTATTCCCATATTGAGAAATGGAAGTAAGGCTAAAAGGTTCTTGCACAAAACTAGACAAATTCTGTTAAACGTGGAGAAACACACACATACCAACACACACAATATGAAATTAATTTTACTATGAAAAATAATTTGCCCTAGGCCAATTGGAATTGTTTTTAATACAAAGTAGATATATATAAACTGTGGTCACACACAGAGTCACCTTATAGGGGAGATAGGCAGCATAAAGTTTTAATAAATAATAATAAATTAAAATACATATGTATTTAGATGGCCTTATTATAGTTTTTTTCTGAAACCAGGATGAAAAAGAAAGTCATATGTTTTTTAACCTGAGCTTTAGTGAAAAAATATTTAGAACTATAAATCACTTTATCAAAAATACATACGGGTCTAGAATGAGAAATTGGTGAGTGTGGTCAGACAGAAGAATTCTATAAAATGACTGGTGTTATTTTGAGAAAAATATGACAATTCAATCAAACAGTTTAAAAATCAAATAGGTTTGCATTCCTATCCACATTACCACTGAAAAAATACAGGGATCAGGACATACAGCAAATCATTATCCTAGCCATAATTTCATAATTTTCTATTTCTGAATCCTCATGTGTCCTTTTTTAAGGATCATCATGCAGTACAGGTTGTCTTTGACTGGAGCCTGCGTAAACTGACATGGCCAATCCAATTTTACGATCTTTTTTGTGACAGTTGTTAAGTGAATCATCATGGTCATTAAGTGAATGCCACAGTCATTGCTATGAGGTGTTTTTGCCCAAAGATAAAAGTAAACACCAGGTTTTGGCAAAACCATTATAAATTGCTGTCCCATGATCATGGGACACTGCAAACCTCTGTAAATAGGGGCCACTTGCTGAGTGCCCAAACTAGTCATGTAACCATGGGGTAATAGCCATCAGAATTTCAGAACTGATTCATAAGTACCTTTTGGTTTACCATAACTTCAGATGGTCACTAAGTGGCAAATCAAAACTGAAGCACTATGTCTAGCTATTTATTAAAGGGAAGTATCTTGGTTACACTAATGCAAAAGAAAAAAAATGAGTGCTTATTTTGAGAATTCTGCTATTCTACTAGCAAAGGTTTATGTCAGCTTTGTAATTAGGAATACACATAATGAATACGTGTATTGTCTCTGCATAAAAGGGGACTAGTAGTTGTGCTGCATCATCCAGAAACCTTAGATGCCTAGGCGAGGCTTCCCACTTGCCCTTGTTTATTATTTGGAGGCAAACAGATAAACCAAGCCTGTTAAATCTGACTGATATAAAATTGATATTGCATCCTGTTTGATACACAGTATTGGCCAATTCAGTTTCCTCATAGCTCATTCAGCAACAGAAGGCTATTGCACAAGTATAAATGAAAAAATTCAAGTTGCTAAGAATATTACTGAGACATGTTCAGGAGTGTCCATGAGGGGATGAAAAGGTCGAATGTGATTGCATGATTGAAGCTCTGCTCTTTTTTTTTTTTTTACATGCATCACACATGTACCACCTGTAAAGAAGGGCAGGGTTTCAATTTCAAGACTTAATCTGCCATTTTTACTTTTTTGACAGTTCCCTGAGGATACCCTAGATTTGGGAGTTGAACTCAATTTGAAGAAGACATTACCATTTTTAGTGTTATTCAAATCAATTTAAAGGGCAGATGTAGCCTTTTTTAAAAAAAAAAAAAAAGAATGAGTTGTTCAGAAGACAAGCAGACAGCACATTCACTGTTTCGGAAACATTCTTTCATCAATAAGTGCCAAAAAACAAAATGATGAACCAAATAAATGGCATTCAAAGTAGAAACCAAATATTAAGCAAATGAAATCTACAGACTTTTAAAAAAATAACTATAAAGCTGTCTAGGAATTCAATAATTCACTTATTGGTAAAATAACCAGATTTCTTTTTGTAAAAAAACAAAACAAAACCCATTCATTGCTCATATTGATAGACAGTTCAATGCCTCTTCTTCTTCTTCTTTCCCCCCTTTCTTTGGTCATTAAAATAACAATGGTTTTCAAGGCTTTTTTTTCCATGAATGTGTCAGTTCTCTGCTTCATCACCTCAGAATATTGTTCGCAAGCTGGCACTCATGTGACCATCACCTCTGCTTGTTCTGCAAGTCCCAAAAGAGTAGTCATTTTGCTAGAGGGAATTCATTTATTTTTCCACCTTAAGTGGAAAAAAATCTTGTAGGATATGCCCACCTCCCAGCCATTAATGCGAAGTTGCTAGTGGGAGGCGGACAGAAGTTGAGGCTTGGAAAGCTGCATAAGGCCCTTCAGAAATTGGCCTTTGTGGAGGGAGTAGGAGAGTGAAGATGAATTAAAATGATGAAAGAAATTTGAAGTCCCTTTTTGATTATATATGTGTTTTGTTTTGTTTTTTACTCTTCTGCATCTGGAAAAAAAAAGAGAGAGAAAGAGAGAAAGAAAGTTGTCAATGTTCCTCCCTACTATCCAATAAATATAAAAAAAGAATTGAAAGAAAAATAAACAATATTCTCTTTAAATATCACACTGTCCTACTGCTCAAAGCAAATTCCTTCCCAGAGTGCCCCATTCTGCCAAAGAGGGAGCTATATGCATGGTTTCCAGAAATACTTTAAAAAAACTTTGAAAAAGAGCTTTCCCAACATGAAAATGAAGATTGAGCATATTCACAGATTACTAACAGTTTCTATATGCAGGGCAGAACCAGGAGGAAGGGAACTGAGTAGTCTAGATGATACAATTACTAATAGCTGTCAGGAATCCTAATTAAAAAATATGTTGCCACTTCCTGTTGTTCTTTTATTTTTTGGAATTTGCTATATTTGTCACTTTGTTCCTGCTATTAAAATAAAAACAATAATCTAAATTATTATTAAAGTTGCCACTAATTTGAGCCATGCTTGTTTTTTAGTTATGTGCCTAATAGCTCAAATTAACTTACACAGGTATATAAAAAACTGTCTTAGATCACATCAGACTATCCTCATCTTGCTCCATGTTATTTCCTGGATTTGAAAAGGAAGTTTCTCTATTCCTATTTATTGAACCTAGACATTCCTTCAGCAAAGATAATATATGACTGAGGCACAGTGCTTCCTTAAAAATTAGACAAGAAGCTGAGAGATTTCAGGTATTTCCTTGAGGAACAAATTCTGTATCTTTTTATAACAGAAGGATTGACTTGGAAGCTGCATCAGACACAAAGTTGTACAACTCAGAATAACATTCTTCGTGGTTATTGCCATAACATCTTATAATTTGATGCCCTCTAGCTGTATTGGGCTGTATCCCCAGCTTTGATTCCATTCAGTAGTGGTTACATTCAGTAAGTGTATAGGTACTCTGAATTCCAATCAGCTCTGGCACTTTGAGGAAAATGTACAATTTGCTTCCTTTTTGAACAGGTTTTGCCTTATTGTAAAAGTATCTTTGCTTTCTTCTGGTATTGTGCTTTCTTCTATAATATGTACAACTTAGTGCATTGAAATTAAATAAAAACAATTAATGGCAACAAACTGGAATGATTAAACATCTAGTTTCAGTTTTTAGCACCAGGTTCCTAAAGGAAAAGTTTAGAATTTAGCATTAAATTCTTAAATGAGATCTTTAATCCTGAATAGATAAGAACTTCATTATTACAGATCTAAAAATGTGTTCTCTGTTAAAGAGCAGGAGGATTTTGATAAAGTAAAAGGCTAATTGAACAAAAAGAAAATCAACAGGCATCCTGCCCATTCCATTCAAAGCATATGTTTGCAACATCTAGTTTACTAATAATGGATATTACAATTTCCAGCAAGGCAACCCATACTTGATAAAGAGTAGGCAAATCCAAACAAAGTGTTTTAAGAACTGCCATATACTATATTACTTAATTTACCATTTAGACAGTAGACCAAGTATTATACTAAATAATCACATATTCAGTTTACTGTTTAGGCATTTGTTTCCAACCTTCAGCTCACAAAGGTGTGAAGGAATGTGCAGTTGAAAAATGGGGTGGGGGGGGGGAATGTCACTAGTTGTTCTGTAGCTTATGAAGGAGGAGGTTGAACACTACAGAGAGAGAAGCCCCAAACAAGCGACTGCACAGTCCTGAACTAGGTGGTAGGTAGAAGAAAAGATTCAAGGTAGCCACATCTTGGAATCTTCCAGAATATGTTCATTAGTTTAGAAGATTATATAGCTTTAGACTGGCAAGATTCTCTCAGGTAGGTGTAAGCAGATAGAAAACTGGGCTCAAGTGGATCTTACTGTGTCATCTCTGGGAACTGGACCTGACAAAGAGTATCCTGTAGTGGATTTTTCTAATTAAAGAAACATGGTTATTTTTATATATCTTGGGTGATTTTAATAATCCTATATTTATTAGAGTTGTGAGCACTTTGCATTCAATTGCAAATTTGGAGTACACTGGGGTGTTTGCATCTCCTTGAAGTAGTTCTGTTTTTTCGTGTGATCATATAACTGTTTTTAAGCATTGCAGACAGGAACTACATCTGTGCCCCAGAGCACTCTGTAGTTTAATTTTCAAAGAACAAAGTAGATAGCAAGCACTATTATTTATTCATTCCACAGTGAGCTTCATGAAATTCACCAGAGCATAGTCCCCCAAAAGAGGTTGCAGGAAATGCAATAGAATGTTAGTGCTTTGAATAATATTCTAGCTTAAATGGATAAAATGCTATTTTCCCCATTAAGAATCCTCTTTTTTCTGCAGTGCCAATCTCGGAGTTGCTGTCTTCTTCCATCACCATTGGAAGAAAGAAGATATCATTCTTTCAAATAGAAATCACCTGGATGTATAATAGGTGTAAAAAGCTTAACAGTGTAACAGCTGAAGCTTGCCCATTCCTTGTAATCTGGTTCTGCATATATAGTTTGTTAAACACAGAAGAAATATTTTTAGTTACTTGTATCATTTCTAGGTGATATGGAGAAGACAATAATGAGGCCATTTTGGGAGGCGGAACAATTGCATGTCTCTCATACTAAGTTAGTTCACACCAGTAAAAACCTTTATTTTGGGGCCAAAATAATACAAAGGAGATACCTTTGCATGCACTACAGGAATCTAGCTTTTTTACCCCACAATCTCAGCAGCCAAGTAAAATTATTGCAAACTAACAGCTTCCTTAATGAGGCATTCACAATGCTCTCAACCTAACATTCCAAACCTCCTGGCTTTTTTTTTAAAAAAAATGAAGGGCAGGTATGAAGAGGTCAGATGAACTGAATCCTGGGTCTTATTAATAGCTGAAACTAATCTCACAATATGTAAGCAGAAAGCACAATAAAAAATGTCTCATTTCAATTTCAGTTTCAGGTTTGGTCATGTTAATTTAATTGGCTAGAAGAAAATCTGAACCATTTACAGTACAAGCCTCTTCCTAAGCACAGCCAACCATAATAAGTATTTCTCTGAGAAAACATCAGCTGTCTGTCCTCTTATTTGGAAGAGGATGCTGTACTGCTAGCTTAAAGAGAAATGGTAACTAAAAAAGGGATTGAGTTGAGGCCATGTATCAATAGTAGACCTGCAGGAGAGTGATATTCCCAAGCTGGCAATTAAAAAAAAAGTTGTCTGATTGTAGTTATTATTTTGATTTTTTTTTACATCCCAAAGTCCACAGCCCTCCTTCGTGGAGTAATAAATGGTACACATTATTTTATTATTCTGTGTTATTCAGTGTATGACCTTAGATAGAACATTTCATTATATCCAGTTCAGCATTAGTGTGAAAGCAACTATATTCTCCTATAAATTGTCTCTAAAACTTTCAGAGATCAACATGGAAGTTCAATTTCATTTTAAAGATCAATAAAAAGATTTTCCATTTACAGAGCTAAAGAGAGTAGAAAAAAGTTTGAAAGATGAAAATAAAACTTTTTTCTTTTTGCACCAGCAATTCTTGTTCTGCGTCAGAATGGATGTATTATTAGTAATAACAATAATGTACAATAATCTCTTAGAGGTATTTTGCTCTTGAGTTGATTTTAATTCATTTAATTCTGAAAACCAAATGGAAACTGTTATTGATGTTGGTGATAATCTATTAGCCAGAATTCTTCCTAAATTTGGAACGCCAATCCAAAACACAATATAGTTCTGTTAATGTGGAATTCTTTGATAACATCCAATAGTGTTATAAACAATATCTTTAAAACACCCTTAGAAAAGAATTTGGGCAAGCAAATCATTTTTATTCTTGCATCAATGAGGATCCAAAATCAGTCTCCTAATAAGCAGACTATGTTTGTAACTATGACAATTATTTGGCCACTAGGTGGAAGCATTTCCTAAGATGAATATATATTTTGCTTGTTTTTAGCTATCTCAAAATATAGATATATATGAAGGACATTGTTTGCTAACAGTTCAATACTAAGTAAATGCTTCTGACCCGTTGTCTTATGGACAACTATGATTTTATTCTAGTAATGAGCCAATAACATTTATGGCTTTATGTGTGTCACTGGAAATAGGGCCTCTATCACCTCACAAGTACATTTTCTTCCTGGCTGTATTTGCCCTAATCATATTATCCTCATGCAATCAAACTGGAATAGAAAAATCCCATTAAAAATTGGGATAACTAATTTCAGAAAGGAAAGGGAGCAGCTTATTCTGTCTCATATCCACTCTGTGTTTTCTTGAAAGTAAGATACTGTAAGTGCCAATATAGGAAGATTAAATTAAAAGTACAGATGAATAAATCAGTCTTTATCTGGGTTGTGTCTGGACCTCATGTGCTTTCTCATTCGGGATTATTGGGCATCTTGTTGGGGTAGAGATGTATTTAGAAGAATTTTCCAAATAGTTTTTATAGTCACGTAAGAACCTAAGGTCTTTAAAAACAACCCAGTATAGGAGAAAGGGAAAGCAGTTGCCCCTTGACTATAGTTTTTAGAGTGTGAATTTATTCTGTATTTTGAGGTCAATAAATTTGAGGGGCTATTTACAGTTACTTTCTTTCAAAAGCACAAGAAATTGCTCTTTCATAACTATATAGCAGGCTGATCATTTGAAACAGTTGTATTTACTAACCGTGGTAAATAGGAGAATGAGACTTTTAGTTTGTTATAAGAATTTAGAAAAATTTTCAGATTTTTCATTATCTGGACAGAAATAACTTGAAATTATTATTTTTTTAATTTCTGAAGTAAGAAAACAAATCTGGATGATTTATCTTCCCATCTATTATAAGATTATTGTGCTTCATTTTATTTTGTTTTGAAAAAAATCATTGAAATGTTAATTTAAATTGTAGTCTAAAATCAGTGTTTCTCAATCTCAGAGCCTTTAAAACATGGACTTGAGGAATTTCTGGCTAAAGAATTCTGGGAAATTTTAAAAGTCCGCACATAAAACCTCAAGAATAGTTGAGAAACACTGATTTAAATTATATATATTTGCAAAAGCGTCCTCCTCCAATATCTTTTTTCATATATACCTCTCCTTCCAATAAATATTTTTATAAACATTTTCAAGCAAAATTTGAGGGTAATTGTAATGGAATGGAATTCAGTCAATTTGCTTAAAAATTCCTTCCCCAGCAAGTTCATATGCTTGCTTCTTCTGCCTTCTGCACATACGGCCATTATTCATCAAGGCTATCTAAACAGATTGAATGCGTAATATTCACCCTACGGGTGTTTGTTTAGCTATTCAATCTGGCTTCTTACAGCATGAGCTTGGTGTCCTGTTATTGATTAGATTTCCTGTGGGCTAAACACTCCAAAAGACAATCAGGAGCAAATAATATTGAGTGAGGGCCAGTGAAAAGAACCAAAACAAAAGGAATTGTGAGTGGCTGGGTGGTGGGAGTTGCATTTCTGATTCAGAGCAAGCTTCAAATTTATATTCTGTTCATATAGATGATTAACAGGGTTGATGTAAAAAGTAGGAAAAATATGATAAATAAATGTTAATTGTTTTACTCATTTTATTTTTTGTATATCCAGCTACATATTCCTCCCCCCTCCTGCCCCCCCCCATTGTCCAAGGATGAATAATAATTTTCCTAAAGACATAAAAACAATTCTTTTATTTCATTGATGAAAGGAAGCTATACCATACCCTTACTCCCTTTCTGAAACCTAGGATTATGAACCAGCAACAGGGTTGCAGATAATAGGTTTTAAATTCCCCATAATGTTTTGAATTACCAGAATTAGTTGAATTGTTATTAGCCTGGTTTTCTTGGGGTCAAAATGAATTTGTATTGAAGAAGATATTAATCATAAGAAAATTTTTCTATTAAAAAACCTCAGAATGTTTAAAGTAATGTCTATTTTTTCCCCAGGAGGAATATATAGCTTTAAAATACAGATACTATAAAGAGTAAGAGACAGAAAATAAATGCCTCTGAATTATGGATTCAGAATTATCAAGGCTGCAAAAAACACCAATCAAATTGGTCATGTACTACATAAAGTAGATGACCCTCTTGAGATTAAAAACTATTGGAATAGCAACACATATATTTTGGGCATGTGATATAAATCCATTTAGAAAAATCATTATATACCTGGTAAGGTTCAGAAAAGGAAAACGGGGAAAACACAACAAACAAAAGAGATGGACAGAATCAAAGAGGCTACTAGAGTACTTTTTAAAGAACTGTACATTGTTATTAAAGATGGTCATGAGAATTAGCATTTCACTTTGCAGTCATGTCTGACTTCATGGCATCTAGCTAACTAGCCAGAAGAATTATGATGCATAGCCTTCAGATGTGCACATGAGAACACTCCTATCACTTTCTGTATTATCTGAGAAATTAGTTCTACATGTATCAAAGGAATATATTTGAAATTATTAAAAATATACAAATATTATTATTCTTAGCTTAATCTCTAGTCATCTATCATTGGCTGTCAATTCCACAGCAGCAAAAAAGTACATATTTGTTTAGTATAATGACGACCCAAAATGGAAGTTTGTGTCAAATTATTATTTATATAATGTAAAAAATAAAGGTAAAGGTGGCTTCTCTAGTCATTACCAACTATAGGGGGGGGCAGTGTTCATCTCCATTTCAAGGCCATTGAGGCAGCACTGTCCAAAGAGGTTTCCACGGTCCTGTGGCAGCATGGCATCATGGAGCACTGTCACCTTCCCACCAAAGTGTATCTATTTATCTATTCACATCTGCTTGTTTTCAAACTGCTAAGTTGGCAGGAGCTGGTGCAAGGATGAGAGCTCACCCTGTTGCATGGTGCTCGGGTCTCAAAACTGGTCTGCCAGCTTTCCAACCAACAAGCCCAGTGTCTTAACCACTGAGCCACCCGCCACGCTATTACATAATGTATATGTAAATATATATTAATATATATGGGAAATTGTTGTTGTATATGAAAGAGATACAATACTTAATAAATAATCATAAGATGAATAATAACTAATGTGAACATTGCATAGGTTACTAATTTCTCTCCCCTCCTGCCACCATGGTGTCCAAGGTATGTAAATGCCACTAATGTTGAAAGCACAGAGTGCATTGGCACCATAGAAGGATGGATTTATCTCCAACAGTAGTGGATATTTCAAATTCTTGTCCTGGTTGCTATAAAATAGTTTCTACCACTTCTGAACTAAACTAAGAATGGCTTCATTAAAGCAGTGGTTCTCAACCTGTGGGTCAGGACCCCATTTGGGGTCGAACGACCATTTCACGGGGGTCGCCAAACAATGCAGTCCGCCATTTTTTTCCCCTTTTCCTTAGCTGTGCTACTCCCTTTTATTCTATTGGATTTTGAAAGCCAATAGAATAGACTCTCTTGAATAGAGTCTAATTCTATTGGCTTTCAAAAGCCAATAGGAATTGTCCAGGCTGTCTCTGCCCTGCTGAGCCCGCCAAAAGTCCCATTCTGCAAACGGTGCTGCACCAGTTGAGTAGTCCTCGACTCATGACCGGTTGAGTAGTCCTCGACTTACGACCGTTTGGGGGTCACGGCATTAAAAAGGTTGAGAACCATTGCATTAAAGCAACTAACAACTTCATGAATATTATATCTGAAAAATGTGAGAGAGATTGAGCTGCTTTAAATGAAGAGATGTTAATTCTTTTTGCCTGTATGTTCTAATCTGACTCAGGTGTCTGCTAGCTATTGCCATTAGAAGAAATGTTTTCACTGGCTCGATTGCAATTTTCTCCTAATGAAATAGCAGGGCAGATGGGCTACAGAAAGGGCAAGCCCATCTTTGCCTAGTAGGAACTGGATATAGATCTTCTTTTCTTTCTCTTCCCATAGAAATTATGAATTATGCCCTAACTTTTTGACCTCATAGGGCACTTTTATAATTCTTAAGAATTATAGTGGAGAACGATGGCCCCTTTATGACTTATGGACTTCAATTCCCAGAATTCTGGGAGTTGAAGTCCACAAGTCATAAAAGGGCCATTGTTCCCTATCCCTGATGTAGAATCTTGAACTAGTGAATATATTTAAATATATATATAGCCCCAATGTGCATTTTCCTGTCACAACTGGAGTTAATAGTATTTAATAAGAGAATTTACAAACAAATAGTATTTGAAATCAAAAGTATGAAACAATGTATGGTAATAATTTTCAAAGGAAATACCAACTTTTTTTAAATTAAAAGATTTATTAATTTCTTAAGGCTCCAATTTGATTCCTACAGTAAAAGCTACCTAAAAATACAAATATTAGATTTGCAAAGGACAAAACATTTTTTTCTAAAAGAGCAAATAGGTGTAAGGTGCTATTTGGGGGGCCAAAATTAATGAATCAGCAGAATTTAAACAGTTTCTCTTAAAATTATCTAAATCAGATTTCTTATGTTCCATGTAGAAATTTCAAGGTAAGAGCCTTCATGTTTTAGAGCTGATTATAAATATTGTTTTAGTTTTATCATACTTTAACTGAATTTATTTCATGTGTCTATTATTCATCCAAATGAACACAGAAGAAGTTCACTGGGAAATTTCAATGTATTGTTCATGTCTCTTTTGCATCTATATGGGAGAATTAATCTTCAATGAATAATAAACAAAAAAGGTCATTTTATTTTTATACAACTTATATAGTTCATATGAAAAGTCTTCTTTGGCTTTGCTATAAAAATATCTCTGTGCATTTTGTTACTGATCCAAACCAGTTCATAAGTCAATAAGATTGCCTGCTGAATGTACATACATTGAGGAAGAAATAAAGCAAATATTTGTTGCTTACCCTCCTTTGTCTCATTTCCCTGATCCTTTTCTGACTTCTTACTATGATCCTTTAATTCATCTGGAAGTTAGAAATCATATGAAAGAAAATGTTAAGTGATATAAAATGTCTCTCAATCAACTAAAATAAAAGCAGAGAGTAAACAAAGTATATATAATGTTTTTGTTACTCGTGTGAGCAGTTGACTGGGAGATTAAAGAATGGGTGAACAATGCACTGTGGAAGGGAGAATTTCGTTCAGAAATATTGCACTATTAACTTTTTTATACATTCTAAGACTACATTAGAATAATACATACATGAAAATTATACACCTACACACACATACATGTGCACACATGTAGCATCACTCATTCTGAGGCTTAATTCACATATTGAGGCAAGAAAAAGCAATCTATTTGCCTGCAATTTTCAAACCTATCTGTCAACCCAAATATTTGATCACATGTTTTTTATTTTTTTCCCCTCAGAAAAAAATTAATCCTTATCAAATTTAACAAAGCTATTTTGCACCTTAATCCTCTTTATAAATATAAGGCCATTATTATAAATGACATGATTGTGGTTGAGACAGCTGTGCTGGCATGTATCACTAAGATTTAAGTGGGCCCGGGAGCGGGGTCTGAAGGGCTGAGTAGCCTCTTCAGAGATATGTCTACTTGGGTTCTGAATTTGGTATCAGTTGTGTGACCAGGAAAGTAGTACAGGTCACTGATGGTTCCACAGACAGCAATAGCAATAGCACTTTGCAGTCCTCTCTAAACAGCTTGCAATGTCAACATATTGCACCAATAATCTGGGTCCTCGTTTTACTGACCTCAGAAGGATGGAAGGTGAAGTCTACCTTCAGCCAGAATTGTATTCCAGGCTGTGGGCAGAGTTAATCTGCAATACTGCATTCTAACCACTGTGCCACCATGGCACCTTATATAACGAGATGTGAGATTCTTTGGCTAAAGGTAGACTCTAAGGAGCAATAGGAAAGAAGGAAGGAAGGTGTAAGGCTCATAGTTCTGAACCATCTATTAAACAATTCATCTGGTGGGACCTTGGAAGCAGCTCTGGAGAAAACCTCTCCAGAGAAACATATGCTCCTTTTCCAGCCTTTAAATCTGGCTCTTTCACCAGACTTTGGACTAGAGAAGATAGCAGACCAGTTGTGGAATTTTTTGATGATATTCCATCTAAGCACTAATACGAGGTTCAGTTCTACTTGGCTTTTCAAGATCAGTTAAGTGCTACCACTGCACTTTATGCAGTATGCTTGATCATCTATAGTCAGAAGGTTGGGATGGGGGAAGAAAAAGAAGGACATGATGAAAATTATTTCACAACATCATAACACAAATTTTGAATTAAATATATTTGTATGCAATGCAGAGATGAAATGTAAAACAACAGCTTGAAATTATAAGACATCTTTTGTACTTTGGCACTATGATTGTTAGGAACAGATCCCTATGATATCATATAAAAGGTTATGGAATCTGAGCTGTTTAAATTTCTGTGTATGATATGACTATTTTTCAGTTGATGGCACTACAATGATGACCAGGGCCAGCTCCCGGCTAAAAGATTGAATAGGCACTGGTTTAGGGCACCAAAACTTAGACAGTATCATGCTGCCTCTCCTTCTAAATCATTCTAATAATGCAAAGCTGCATCAACAACAGGGTGCCATATAGCTTTGAGCTTCACTTTTAAAGACCCAATTGGATCTGAAATGTTTATTTCAGTTACTCAGCTCAGTTAAATACTTTGGAATTTTTTAAAGCCACCCAAGTGTCAATAATTGGTTTACATAACAGGAAATCCAATACTATTTATGTAAATGAACTTAATATGAGTGTTCAGATCATAGGAACAAACTTGATCCTTATGGCTCTGATTCTTTTCTGTTACTCAGATATATGGATGGCAATACAATGAAACACAGATATAAATATAGACGTGTAGAACACTCTCATATTGAATTGTTTATGTAATATTGTTAAATGGCCAGCATCTATTGCTTATTTAATATTAAGTGATCCTTACTGATTAGGACAACCTATATAGATATGGCTCCAAATAAAATAAAATAAAATCCTAAACCTATCATGACTAAGAAATAAGCAATGAAATGAGTAAACAGGCAGACAATTTTATTTTTTATCCTTCTGCATCTTCCTATAAAAAAAAGAAAAATGTTCAGCATACCCTGAGTTGCTAACAGTGTTGCTAGTATGAAAGTGTGAAACTAACCTGTGTCAGTTTTCTAAATTATTCAATTTATGCCATATAAAAACTGAAACTTAAGATTTAAAATTATGTTGAAGGCAAATATTACATTGATTAGAATGGTGAATTAATGAGCTGTTAATATTTGTCTTCAACAGACGAAGATAAAAAAACTGCAAAGGAAAAAATTCTAAAAATCCATTATACACACATATACATATAGGTAACTAATAATAGTATCTATGATAAAAAGAAATAGAAACATGCTAAAATATATTTTAACTTATGCAAGAAGATTATTCTTGTTTGAATATACACAAACTGAATTTCTTAATGAATAGGCTCAACTGAGGGACATATACCGTAAATGCCGGTGTATAAGACGACTTCCACGAGCGCTGAAATCGGCGCCAAAGACGGGGGTCGTCTTATACGCCGAGTCGTCTTATACGCCGGAAATACTGGTAGTTTCCGTCATATAAGACGACGTTCTAGGAATGCGGCCCGGCTATAAAGACAGGGGTCGTCTTATACGCCGGGTCGCCTTGTACGCCGGCATTTACGGTAATGTTATCCTGTACTGCTGACTACATGGTAAAATGATAAGTGTAATCAACTCTGGAAGGAAATGATGACACTATCCCCAAATAACAGAAATTTTCTTCCAAAATAAGACAGCAGAAACTTAATAAAAGAAAATGTTATACATTGAAAGACATTGATGTTATGTAGCACATTCTTCTTAACTGCTTGCCTGTAGAATTGTTGCATCTATTTCTTGAATTCCCACTTGTAGTTCAAAAAGTTCTAGAGGCACCAGGTTGGGGTTCTCCATTCAAATTTTGTTTTTCTAAAATTGCTAAAATGGGTAATCCAATTTATAATAGTACACTATCAATAATATCAATAGTATTAATATACTTAATCACTACAGTACTGTGTTACTTTAAAGTTAACATACTGTAAATATCCAACTAAGTAATTCATCTATCAGTCTTAAAGCAGCTAAGTGATAAGTGAATTTGCCAGTAAATTCACTTTTCCATGAAAGGACAGAAACACTTACCATTCTGTGCCTGCTGTTTTGACTCTCCGCCGGTTGATTTTGACTCTGCCCCCTTTTCCATCTCATTTACATTTTTTCCTTGAGAAGTTCCATGTTTGTTACCACCAGTTGGGCGACTCCCATTTATATTACTTTTATTGATTTCGGTGCTCTTACTATCGCCAGAACTCCCCTCTTTATTCCCTTGTTTACTTTTCTCTGACTTTGTGGTAATGTTATCCTCAGGTAGTTTTTTTCCTTCATTTTCTTCCATTTTCTTGTCATCTATACCCTGTTGAGAATTCTCCTCTGCTTCTTTCTTTGCTTTTTCTTCTGTATTCTCAGCAAAAACAAAAGACAAAAAAATGGAGACAGGGAAGGGGAGTATAAAAAGGAGCAATGGAATTATCAAAATGTTAAATCTCCGTTGTTTTTAGTTGCTGGAAATGACATAAAGCCTAAAAGAATTAAGAAATGCTATTCTCACTTGGCTGAAGTCTACTGCTTGCTTTCTTAAAACTATGCTATAAGCACATGCCATTTCTGCTCATCATAAATGAAGGTATATGAACTATTAACCATCAAAGTTACATTTTGCATGCCACTCACCTCTTTGCAATATGTATAAGTAATTTTGTTGTTGTTAATTGCGAAGTCGTGTCTGACCCATCGCGACCCCATGGACAATGTTCCTCCAGGTCTTCCTGTCCTCTACCATCTTCTGGAGTCCATTTAAGTTCACACCTACTGCTTCAGTGACTCCATCCAGCCATCTCATTCTCTGTCGTCCCCTTCTTCTATTGCCCTCAATCTTTCCCAGCATTAGGCCCTTCTCCAGTGAGTCCTTCCTTCTCATTAGGTGGCCAAAATATTTGAGTTTCAACTTCAGGATCTGGCCTTCTAAAGAGCAGTCGGGGTTGATCTCTTCTAGGACTGACCGGTTTGAACGCCTTGCAGTCCAAGGGACTCGCAGGAGTCTTCTCCAGCACCATAGTTCAAAGGCCTCAATTCTTTGGCGCTCAGCCTTTCTTATGGTCCAACTTTCACAGCAATACATTGCAACTGGGAAAACCATGGCCTGGACTATACGCACTTTTGTTGGCAGGGTGATGTCTCTGCTTTTTAGTATGCTGTCTAGATTTGCCATAGCTTTCCTCCCCAGGAGCAAGCGTCTTTTAATTTCTTGGCTGCAGTCCCCATCTGAGGTGATCTTGGAGCACAGAAAAATAAAATCTGTCACTACCTCCATTTCTTCCCCATCTATTTGCCAGGAATTGAGAGGGCCGGATGCCGTGATTTTGGTTTTCTTAATGTTGAGTTTCAAGCCAACTTTTGCACTCTCCTTCTTCACCCGCATCAAGAGGCTCTTTAGTTCCTCTTCACTTTCTTCCATTAGTGTGGTATCATCTACATATCTTAGGTTGTTGATATTTCTCCCGGCAATCTTAATTCCAACTTTTGTTTCATCTAGCCCTGCCTTTCTCATGATGTGCTCTGCATATAAGTTAAATAGGCAGGGCGACACTATACAGGCTTGCCGGACTCCTTTTCCAATTTTGAACCAATCAGTGGTTCCGTGTCCAGTTCTCACTGTTGCTTCTTGACCCGCATATAGGTTTCTCAAGAGACAAATAAGATGGTCTGATATTCCTATCTCTTTAAGAACTTGCCACAATTTGTTGTGATCCACACAATCAAAGGATTTAGCATAGTCAATGAAGCAGAGGTAGATGTTTTTCTGGAATTCCCTAGCTTTTTCCATGATCCAGCGTATGTTGGCAATTTGATCTCTAGTTCCTCTGCCTTTTCGAAATCCTGCCTGTACTTCTGGTAGTTCTCGATCCACATACTGCTGGAGTCTAGCTTGTAGGATTTTAAGCATAACTTTACTAGCATGTGAAATGAGTGCAATGGTGCAATAGTTTGAACATTCTTTGACATTGCCTTTCTTTGGAATTGGAATATAAACTGACCTTTTCCAATCCTGTGGCCACTGTTGAGTTTTCCAAATTTGCTGGCAAAGTGAGTGTAGCACTTTTACTGCATCGTCTTTTAAGATTTTGAATAGCTCAGCTGGAATACTATCACCTCCACTAGCTTTGTTGTTGCTCAGATTTTCTAAGGCCCATTTCACTTCTCATTCTAGGATGTCTGGTTCAAGGTCAGTGACCATCTCATTGTGGTTATCTGGGACGTTAAGCTCATTCTTGTATAGTTCTTCTGTGTAGTTTTGCCATCTCTTCTTAATCTCTTCTGCCTCTGTTAGGTCCCTGCCATTTTGGTCCTTTATCATGCCCATCTTTGCATGAAACGTTCCCTTCATATCTCCAATTTTCTTGAAGAGATCTCTGGTCCTCCCTATTCTGTTGTTTTCTTCTATTTCTTTGCACTGTTCATTTAAGAAGGCATTCTTATCTCTTCTAGCTACTCTCTGGAATTCTGCAATCAATTGGGTGTATCTTTCTCTTTCTCCTTTGCCTTTCGCTTCCCTTCTTTCCTCAGCTATTTGCAAAGCTTCCTCAGACAGCCATTTTGCTTTCTTGCATTTCTTTTTCTTTGGGATGGTTTTAGTTGCTACCTTTTGTACAATGTTGCAAACTTCCATCCATAGTTCTTCAGGCACTCTGTCTATCAGATCTAATTCCTTAAATCTATTTGTCACCTCTACTGTATATTCATCAGGAATATGATTTAGTTCATACCTGAGTGGCCTAGTGCTTTTCCCTACTTTTTTCAATTTAAGCCTAAATTTTGCAACGAGAAGCTCATGATCTGAGCCACAGTCAGCTCCTGGTCTTGTTTTTACTGACTGTATAGAGCTTCTCCATCTTTGGCTGCAGAGCACATAGTCAATCTGATTTCTATGTTGACCGTCTGGTGATGTCCATGTGTAGAGCCGTCTCTTGGGTTGTTGGAAAAGAGTGTTTGTTATGACCATCGTATTCTCTTGACAAAATTCTATCAGCCTGTGCCCTGCTTCATTTTGTACTCCAAGGCCAAACTTGCCTGTTATTCCGGTTATCTTTTGGCTTCCTACCTTAGCATTCCAATCCCCCATGATGATAAGGACATCATTTTTTGGTGTTAATTCTATAAGGTGCTGTAGGGCTTCATAGAACCGGTCAATTTCATCCTCTTCAGCACCAGTGGTTGGGGCATAGATTTGGATTATTGTAATATTGAATGGTTTGCCTTGGATTCGAATTGAGATCATTCTGTCATTTTGGGGATTGTATCCCAGTATTGCTTTTCCTATTCTTTTATTGACTATGAAGGCTACTCCATTTCTTCTGAGGGATTCTTGCCCACAGTAGTATACCTGATGGTCATCTGAGTTAAATTCACCCATTCCTGTCCATTTTAGTTCGCTGATTCCTAAGATGTCGATGTTCAGTCTTGTCATCTCTTTTTTGACTACGTCTAGCTTGCCTTGATTCATGGATCTTACATTCCAGGTTCCTATGGAGAAAAAATCTTTACAGCATCGGACTTTCCTTTCACCACCAGATATATCCACAGCTGAGCGTCCTTTCGGCTTTGGCCCAGTCGCTTCATTCTTTCTGGCGCTACTAGTACTAGCCCTCTGCTCTTCCCCAGTAGCATATTGGACACCTTCCGACCTGAGGGGCTCATCTTCCAGCGTCATATCTTTTTGCCTTTTAGTACTGTCCATGGGGTTTTCATGGCAAAGATACTGGAGTGGTTTGCCATTTCCTTCTCCAGTGGATCACATTTTGTCAGAACTCTCTGCTATGACCTGTCCGTCTTGGGTGGCCCTGCACGGCATAACTTATAGCTTCATTGAGTTACACAAGCCCCTTCGCCACAACAGGCAGTAATCCATAAAGGGGATAAGTAATTTAGACATATATAATTTAGGAAGGATATATATCAGTTTCAGTTATTCATGAAAAACAAGGGAAGCTTCTACATTCAGAGATTGAATATTAGATGTTGAAGAAATAAGCCAAGAAGAACTATTGCAGATATTTATTTATCCATGAAACTAACCATAATTAAAATTGGAACAAAAGCAAAAGATCAAATAAAAATAAATAGAATATCATTAATGCAATGCTGTCAAGATCCTCAAAATTCCTACAATCATCTAATATTTTACCCTAATGCCTGAGGGAGTAACCATATTTCTACAGCTTTCCAGACCACAACAGGATAAGGTTATCTGCATATAGGCAGAATTGTGTTTCATAAGGAAAATGCTGCAACAGTGAAATTATATCTGTGGAACCCACTAGATGATATGATATGATAGAAAAGGACAAAGATCACATCCATCTGGTCATATATGTATTATAAACTTAAGTGATTGGAGATAGAAAGTACCATAAGGAATCTGGTTCTACACCACATAGGGAAACAGTACTTGCAATCGCACTGGGAGAAGCACAGGGAACCAGTATAGTCATGGAGCAAAGATGTTGCAGGCGAATACCACGGTGTGTCCCTGACTGTCTATGCCATCCCTTTCCAAAATAAACACGGAAAGGACTGCAATCGTAATAAATCATTGATGCAATGTGCAGGAATTTGCTTTTGTTTTAAAAAAAACAAAACAAATATTTTAATAGAGAAATATTACAGCATGCCTCGTCTTCACCTAAAATATAGTACCTGTTATAAGAAATCATTGATGAATTGTTAAGATTATTAAGATACTTTCAGAATGACATTTTATTTGTAATTAATCTGGATTAAGCATTGCATTCCCTACTATCAATTGCTCAAAGAGATAATGCCCATAGATGCCACGAAGATTGCCTCAATTTTATTCCACATATTCAGGAGAAAAGAAACCATTTTGTTCTTTTAAAAGACAAAGAGAGTCATTCTATGGATACAGAGTAAAATAGTTGTCAAGCTACAAACTCTACTGCCTTTGAGACTGCAACGTGCTTCTAACTAGCCAACAGTGGGGGGAGGAAGGGAAGAGAGCTTTGAATCTACAGATGTCCTTTATCAGTGTGAGCTGCTGAAGAATCGTATTAGTGAAATTAAAGTTTGTTCTCATAACAATTACTAGAAGATGTATTGGACAATGTGACTTGCACTGTCAGAGAGGGATGGGAAAAGTTTTGTTCTTTTAATTAACTACTTCCCACCATTTCCATAGAGCTAGCTTCCCTTTGACCCTACCAGTTTGATTCTGCTCAACAAAGATATTCATTAGACATTTACAATGGCTCTGATGTTTTGCTTGGTTGGGCCTTTCAGTCAGGGATTGACATTAAGCTAGCTCTCTAAACAAATTAAATTCCACTGAGGGGGTCCTGAGACCTTACGTCCCGCTAGAAGCCTCCAGCGGGGTGGTGAAGATTCAGGGGAAGATGCCTGAAATGGAAAAGCCAGGACTGATTAGTGGAACTCCAGCTGGAGCTGAGGATGGTTTTGTAACCACACCAGCCTCAACCCGACCCAAACAGCGAATTGAATGGTGTGAGTCAAGTCCAGAGCGGATGGGGGGAGAGGCAGCATTCAACTGGCCCAAGTTGGAGTGATGGAGAGAGGAGTTGGGGAGAGCTGTTGAAGCTGAGTTCTGATTGTACTGCCCCCAGCCCGAAGGAATACAGGCGTATTCTACTATGAAGTCATAGTTTCTTTGAATTAGTATTTATTACTAAATATTTATTTTGATTTCCATAATACAGAGAAAAATTTATCCACAATATTCTTTTCCTCTAGTATTGAGAGGGTTGGGTTGAGTATCTATCAGGAAGTAGGCAGTCTCCCCTTAATCTTTCACTTCATGTCTTTTTCTGTATCACTGCAAGAGCTGGATATGGAAAGATGTGATCTAGTGGTGCTCTTCAGGGTTACTGAGGAGAATAGAAGCCACTGAAATCATTTTAATTGTGGTTCACACAAACCTCTCGCCAGAAACCTCCAAGTATCTTTAGGAACCTTTCCTCTGCACACATGTGTATAAGCCTGTATATATTATCCATCATTTTGCTGCAAATAATTTTCCAGCACTGTTTTTGTTACCTTTGATTGCTTGGGTTTTCCACTTTTCTCGGTTTTGTTGAACTACTTCTGTCCATGTGGCTTTGAAACATTTGAAGTCCACAGTGAGGATGGAACAGTTGAGTGAGGCACTTCCTTCTGACCCAGTGCTCTTGACACTTGATCTTTTGACTTCTGATGGGCTAAGGCTATTCAGACTGGGATTGCATAATACAATATTAATGGCATTTCAATTGCTAAAGAAATACTAAGTGACATTGCCATTTTCTTCTCCCTTTCACTTTTTAATTTTTTTTGATACATAAGAATATTCCTAACCATTTTTTTTTAATTTGGAGCCCCTCCTACTTTATTATACTTTTTATTCCCCAAACCTTGAGCAACACTTTTAAACCCCTTTCACATCCACTCTTCTGTTCACAAATTAAAATAACCACATGGTGAAATAATAGCTGCTCAGCATGATGTCGCTGCAATGGAACTTCTGTGAAGAGGGAGAAGAGCATGGGGGAAAACACCGAAGTTCCTGCCAATGGAAAAAACATTCTGTTCCCAACTCTATTCATTTTTAGTTGAATGACAGCTGAACTGGAAATCAACTAAACTGCTGACAGAGTGGGATCATAGAGGCATGGGGTTGATGCTACATTGTACATTGCATATTCTGATTTAATCAGATTTTAATTTATTGTTGAAGAGCTTTTGGGCAAAGAAAAAAGTGTCTGGGTTGCAGAAGGCATCTAGCCTTAAAGTGATGCTTGTAGTGAATCAATCAATTTTTTTTCATAATGAAAAGTGGGAAAGTATCTCTAGACACTACAGTCACATAAATTAGATACTATTTTAAATATTATATCTGGATTATAATTACAATTATATTCTTTGGAATAATGTTCAATATCAAGAGCAGATAATATATACTTGGTCCCGTTATCCCAAAGAATTTATCATAATCATCCCAGGATATTTCTCTTCTTTCAAATATTATTCTTATAATGGCCTCATTATCAACGTGGATAATTTCCTGGTCATTATATCACAAACGACTTGAACACTCTTTCTTTCCCCAGAAAAATAAAATTTTACACACAGATGCACACAAACACAAACAAAACACACACTTTAAAGGGGCAGATTCTACTATAAATATATGTGGTTTCTGACCTGGATCGCCTAAATCCTGTCATACCAGAGTTAGAGGCTTCCTCAATGAGAGGTGTTACAATCTTCTCAGTCATATCAGTTAGCACAGTGAAAGTGGGTTCCACAATAAAATCAATAAAGCCTGGAAAAGCACAGAACAGAAACAAATCAAAGAAAATCAGCTACTTAATAGCATACTTCCTATAACATAAATATATCAATACATATAACAACATGATAAAACCATCACCATTACTACATGCTATTTCCTACTACAGGTAATCCCCGAGTTACGAACATTCCCCTAGGGAACATTTGAAGTTAAATGATAAGCATCCCCTAGTGTTTAGGAATCAGTCCCAAAATTATGAAATTACAGTCTTTCACCTTTACCAATGACCGCACAGGCCCTGCAACATTCACCTGACTATTCCCTCCCCCCTGCCAAGTCTCCATAGACACTAAGGCTAGTGGATACTCACCTTGTAAAGATCTAGAGAGCTTTTATTTTCTTGGCTGTTTCTCTGCTTCAAGTCTTTGGTACATTAACAGAGAATGGAGGCCTAAAGTATTGCAAGATCACGCGAGATCACTAGTGTGAAATCTCATGCTATTGATCTCGCATGATCTCATGATACTTTAGGCCTCTGTTCTTTGCAAACGGAGGCCTGGACAAAATCTGCAGCAAAAGCCTTTTGCCATCTTTGCAAAAAGCCTTTGCCACCAAGAACAGAGCCCCAGGTTGATATGTCTGTTGCCCCAGGCTCCATTTTTACCAGCAGAGGCTTCCAGGCTAAAGGAGTGGAGTAAAGGAGAAGGCTTTGGATATATTAGTCACGATGTCAGCAGCTGGTCCAATGAAAAAATGTATAACAGAGATGGTTTGCATCCATCAAAGAAAGGGACTGAGTTACTTGGCTATAAATTCACAGATTTTCTGGAGGAATATTTAAACTAAACAGCGGGGACAGTGAACTAACTGATACAGAACATCCCTGTCCCCGGCAATCTAAAAATGATAGGGCTATCAATGTATGTAACATAGATGTGTGTGTGGACAAGAACATCAACCTTGCTGTCAGCAAAATCAAGCTCTTAATAGCGAATGCCACACAAAGTGCACTAACCAAATAGGTGGAAAGACATTAGGGGAACTCAGGCACCACACAGGTTATGTAGGAAGTAAACACAGTGCCAGTCATAAAGGACTCAAATGTCTATACACAAATGCACAGAGTATGAACAGCAAACAGGGTGAACTAGAAATTCAGGTTAATGAGGGCAGATATGATATTGTTGCCATTACAGAAACATGGTGTCCCACAAATGAACACACAGCTAGAGGGATTTAAATTATTTAAAAGAAACAGATCAAATGAAAGAGGAGGTGGAGTTGCTCTCTATATAAGAAATAACTACATCTCTACAGAAATAGGGCACAACAATGATGAAAACTATCCTGAATGCATATGGGTCAATATAAAAGGGGGGGGGAACGACATTGCCATAGGTGTATACTATAGGCCACCCAACCAAACACAGGAAATAGATGAACTTTTTGCTAGTCAGCTAACTAAGGTATGTAGGAAGCACATCACAATGGTAATGGGGGACTTTAACTACCCTGACATCAACTGGGAGACAAACTCTGCACCAAGTGGAAGATCAAACAGATTCCTGACAAACCTAGCAGACAACTTTGTCTCCCCAAAAGTAGAGAAGGGAACTAGGGGATTAGCCATTTTGGACCTAATTCTCACTAACAAAGATGAAATGATAGAAAGTTTTGAAGCCATAGGAACCTTGGGAGGAAGTGATCATGCAATATTGGAATTCAACATTATGGAAACACAAGCAATAGAACACAGTCAAACTAGAGTCTTAGATTTCAAGAGAGCTAATTTCAATAAACTTAGAGAAGTTTGGGAAGGATTCCATGGATGAGAATCCTCCAGGGCAGTGATTCTCAACCTGTGGGTCGGGACGACCATTTGGGGTCGAACGACCATTTCACGGGGGTCACCAAACAATGCAGTCCGCCATTTTTTTCCCCTTTCCTTAGCAGTGCTACTCCCTTTTATTCTATTGGCTTTTGAAAGCCAATAGAATAGACTCTCTTGAATAGAGTCTAATTCTATTGGCTTTCAAAAGCCAATAGGAATTGTCCAGGCTGTCTCTGCCCTGCTGAGCCTGCCAAAAGTCCCATTCTGCAAACGGTGCTGCACCAGTTGAATAGTCCTTGACTTACGACCGGTTGAGTAGTCCTCGACTTACGACTGGTTGGGGGTTGCAGCATTAAAAAGGTTGAGAACCACTGCTCCAGGGGAAAACAACTCAAGAGGCTTGGGAAATTTTGAAAAGTGAGATAATAAAGGCCCAGTCTAAAACAATACCAACAAAGAGGAAAAATAACAGCTCTCAAAAGACCGAAGTTCCTGCCAATGAAAAAACATTCTGTTCCCAACAATATCCATTTTTAGTTGAATGACAGCTGAACTGGAAATCAGCTAAACTGCTGACATAGTGGGATCATAGAGGCATGGGGTTGATGCTACATTGTACATTGCATATTCTGATTTACTCAGATTTTAATTTATTGTTGAAGAGCTATTTGGGCAAAGAAAAAAAGTGTCTGGGTTGCAGAAGGCATCTAGCCTTAAAGTGATGCTTGTAGTGAATCAATCAATTTTTTTTCATAATGAAAAGTGGGAAAGTATCTCTAGACACTACAGTCACATAAATTAGATACTATTTTGGCTGCATAAAGAACTCTCTGATCAATTGAAAGATAAAAAGGACAAGTATAGAAAGTGGAAAGAGGAGCACATAACTAAATCAGAATATCAACAAATAGCCCTGCAAAGATGAAGTGAGGAAAGCTAAGGTTCAAAATGAACTAAGGCTTGCAACCAAAGTCAAAAATAACAAAAAAAACTTCTTTCAACATATAAAAAACAAAAAAAGTGAAGGAAACGATTGGTCCATTAATGGGTGGAAGTGGCAAGAAGGTGACAAGCAACAGGGAGAAAGCAGAACTATTGAACTCACATCTGTCTTTACACAAAGGGAAAAAACAGACCAACCTATCAAAAATAGTGCCATAAAAACAAAATAGAAATACAAGTTAAGATAGGCAAGAAAATGGTAAGTGAACACCTGTCCAGCCTAGACGAGTTCAAATCACCAGGACCAGATGGATTACATCCCAAGGTTCTCAAGGAACTGGCAGATGTGATCTCAGAACCACTGAACTATATTTTTCAAAGATCCTGGAGCACTGGGGAACTACCAGAGGACTGGAAAAGAGCTGATGTAGTTCCCATCTTCAAAAAAAGGAAAAAAAATGGATCCAGGAAATTACAGACCTATCAGCCTGACCTCAATACCTGGGAAGATTCTGGAAAAGATAATCAAACAACGAATCAGCGAACACCTAGAGGCAAACAAAGTCATTACTAAAAGCCAACATGGGTTTGTCAAAAACAGATCATGCCAGACAAATCTTATTGCATTCTTTGACCAAGTGACAAAATTAGTGGACCAGAGGAATGCTGTGGATATAATTTACTTGGACTTCAGTAAGGCATTTGACAAAGTAGATCACAACAAACTACTTGATAAGATAGAAAAATGCGGGTTAGACAGCATCACCACCAGATGGATCCGTAGCTGGCTGAGCGGCCGTACTCAGCATGTGGTCCTTAATGGAACTGCATCTACATGGAGGGAAGTGTGTAGTGGGGTGCCCCAGGGCTCTGTTCTGGGCCCAGTGCTCTTCAACATCTTCATCAACGATCTGGATGAGGGGATAGATGGGGAACTCATCACATTTGCAGACGACACCAAGCTGGCAGGAATAGCCAACACTCCAGAAGACAGGCTTAGGATACAGGAGGATCTGGACAGACTTGAACACTGGGCGCTGTCTAACAAAATGAAATTCAATGGTGAAAAAAGTAAGGTTCTACATTTAGGCAAGAAAAAACAAAAGTACAGATATAGGGGGTACCTTTCTCAATAGTAGTAACTGTGAGAGGGATCTCGGAGTCCTAGTGGATAATCTTTTAGATATGAGCCAGCAGTGTGCTGCAGCTGCCAAAAAAGCCAACACAGTACTAGGCTGCATTAACAGAGGGATAGAATCAAGATCACATGAAGTATTAATATCACTTTACAATGCCTTGGTAAGGCCACACTTGGAATACTGCATCTAGTTTTGGTCACCATGATGTAAAAAAGATGTTGAGACTCTAGAAAGAGTACAGAGAAGAGCAACAAAGATGATTAGGGGACTAGAGGCTAAAACATATAAGGAATGGTTGCTGGAATTGGGTATGTCTAGTTTAATGAAGAGAAGGATGAGGAGGGACATGATAGCAGTGTTCCAATATCTCAGGGGCTGCCACAAAGAAGAGGGAGTCAAGCTATTTTCCAAAGCACCTGAAGGCAGGACAAGAAGCAACAGGTGGAAACTAACCAAGGAGAGAAGCAACCTAGAACTAAGGAGAAACTTCCTGACAGTTAGAACAATAACCCAGTGGAACAACCTGCCTCCAAAAGCAGTAAATGCTCCAACACTGGAAGTTTTTAAGAAGAAACTGGACAGCCATTTGTCCAAAATGGTATAGGGTTTCCTGCCTGAGCAGGGGGTTGGACTAGATTACCTCGAAGGCCAACTTTATCATTATTAATATTAAAATGCCTCTGCTGGCAAAAAGGAGGCCTTAGGATGACCTGGGGCTCCATTTTCGACTGCAAAAAACAGAGGCCCGTTGCTGCCAAAAATGGAGGCCCAGGTTGATGCACGCGTCGTCCCCAGCCTTCCTTTTTCCAGCAGAGAACTTTCCTGAAGGCCTCTATTGGCAAAAACAGAGCCCAGGGTGACACATAGGAATGATGTGTGGAGACTAGAAGTTTCTCAGCATTGTGATCTTGTGACTGAAGTCACATGAGATACGGCGCTGAGAAGCTTCCATTTTCGATGCCCAAAGTGTTTGCAAGCTGAGCAGGCACTTTCAGGCAATGAAATCACCTGAAAACTGGAAGCTTCTCAGCGCTGTAATCTTGTATGGCAGAGAGGCTGGAGAGAAGGCAGCTTGAGAGGAAACTGCTTGCTAGATTTTTTGCAACTAGTTTTGATGT